CTACGCCGAAGCATCAATTTATTCATGAGTACGCAGCTTAACTTCGGCGTAGTCGGTACGCAACACTACGCAACTCTACGCAGATCCGGTGTAAAAGGGGCTGAAGGTACGCGAAAAAAATTAAACATGTTTAATTTTTTGCGTTCATCTCGCGTACCCATTTGCGTCCCTCCGCGTACAGTTGCGTAGGCCGGCGTAGGGTTGCGTAAGATCGGCGTAGTCGGTACGCAACTCTACGCAAGGCCCGGCGTGAAAGGGGCTTTGAGAGTTATGCCATTCTTGATTTGTACACGCATCATCACATTAAAATTGTTATACCTCAGCCACACTGGCATGCACACTGACTTAAACCACTGTTATATTTCAGTCACACTGGCATGCAAACCGACTCCAAACCATTGTTATACCTCAGTCACAATGGCATGCAAACCGACTCCAAACCATTGTTATACCTCAGTCACACTGGCATGCAAACCGACTCCAAACCATTGTTATACCTCAGTCACACTGGCATGCAAACCGACTCCAAACCATTGTTATACCTCAGTCACACTGGCATGCAAACCGACTATAAACCATTGTTATACCTCAGTCACACTGGCATGCAAACCGACTCCAAACAATGTTATACCTCAGTCACACTGGCAAGCAATCCGAATCCAAACCATTGCTATACCTCAGTCACACTGGCATGCAAACCGACTTCAAACCATTGTTATACCTCAGTCACACTGGCATGCAAACCGACTTTAAACCATTGTTATACCACAGTCACACTGGCATGCTGGTATAGCCAATAGAGAAATCGGATAATGTGAAATCACCATGTTCGCACATTTGAAAAATTGACGCACGCTGTCAATGAAAATTATCATGGGCTTATTTTGTGTGTGTGTATGTGTGTGTGTGTGTGTTTGAGATCATGCTTTAACTTATTGGCCCGAATTCACAAAGGAGGTTTAAATTAAACCCATGGTTTAAACCTTTATTTACATAACCCATGGTTTAAACCTTCATTTACATAACCCATGGTTTAAACCTTCATTTACATAACCCATGGTTTAAACCTTCATTTACATAACCCATGGTTTAAACCTTCATTTACATAACCCATGGTTTAAACCTTCATTTACATAACTCATGGTTTGAAACTAGCGCAAAATAAGCGCAACACACATTAGGCGGTGTCACACAGAGGCCAAAAATCCGGATTTTAGTTATCCGGATTTTTTTTTTTTTTTTTTTCTTCTGTTTTTATTGTTTTTTCTGAAAAATTAACAGAGTAAAAGCAGCAATATAAAATATAATATCATCTTAAAACTACAAAACAGGCACGCACTCATGCACCCATAAACACGCACACACACACACACGCGCACACACTCACACTCATATACTTTCCCAGAGGGCAAGTTTACAGTTCAAAAAGCCAATGAAGATGTTAATGACAACAGAGCTTTGCAAGACTACTCCTAAATTTCAGTTAAACTTGATAGACCATTTCTTAAAATGGACTTGTAACTTATTTTTCTTTTGGGCAATTTTATATTCTATTTTTTGTTTGAACTTTACCATTGAAACAAATGCTTCGAAAATAAGTTCTTTTCCCTGAAACCTACATGAGTAAATGTAATATTTTAAACATAAAGAGAGAAAATTTATACAAGAGGCATATTTGTCCCTTGACTGTATCCCAAACAAAAAATTAAATTTTGAAGTTATCCGGATTTTAGTTATCCTCTTAAATTGCTGTCTGTCATCAATTATCCCATTAAAAATCCTTTTAAGGTACTATGTCCCATTTGCAGGCCAAAAAAATGAAAAGGTTAAATTCCAACTGCATTTGAAAGATAATACTAATTTAGAACTTCCCTAAAAAGGTGGGGCTTGTAAATGTCTTCAAGTGGGAAAATAACGACTATTAGTTGTCAAATTGACTTTAGGACTATAGAGCCCAAAAGTAATATTCTTGATTTTCAGACAATTGTACCGAATGGTCATACATTGTATGCTGCGCAAAGATTCAATCAGTTTAATCTTGGCCATCACAAGAAGTGGGTTATTGATGTAGACAAATGCTCATGTACCCTTTACAACTCTTTTCATGTATGTTATTACCAAAGAAGAAGAAAAGCCAGTCAGTCACTCAATAATGTCTGACAGTGAAGTCTAGCAAGTAAACGGGTTTCCTTGCATAATTTGAATATGAGGACACTGCTAAAGTTTAAATTTCACAGATAGGACATACCTGACATATTCATAATTCCTGCAAAGTTCTACAGCATTTGAGGTTGGCTTCAAAAGGGACATAGTACCTAAGCAAAAAAATTCTCCCTTGAAAGGATTTTTCAAGGGATTTTTCTGTGTGACACCGCCTACAGTCAAGAGGTCCAATATTATGCGCATGGGTTATGTAAATGAAGGTTTAAACCATGGGTTATGTAAATGAAGGTTTAAACCATGGATTAAATGTAAACCTCCTTTGTGAATTCGGGCCATTATCCCTGTGGGAAAGGTAATGATGAACTTCTCAAAGTCTCATAGAATAGATAAGTAAAAACAAATGAAGTCAGCTTACCGTCATTGCATTCTGCATCGATAAGTAGAGTCCTTGTTACCAGAAGAAGAAATGCTATTCGGCAAACGCAATGACGAATCTCACGAAGCGAGTTAGGAAAGTGAATACCCATTGCTCTGATATATACGGATACCATAGGCAGAGAAGATAAGAAATTTAATGCAAAACAATAATTCACTGGCAGCACCGATCACGAATAGGATGTAAAGCGATAATGTCAAATGCGAATATTTCAACGTATCACCTTTAAATCACAATGCCCCTTTCTCTGCCTGTTTTCTCTCTCTCAAGTTGGCCTAATGATATGTTGGATCTCACAAAATCAATATTATGCTAGAAGTATGCGCGTTTTGAACAAATAAGAAGAGCATTGCACAAAATCAATATTATGCTAAAAGTATGCGCGCTTTGAACCAATAAGAAGAGCGTTCTGTAAGTGAGTGGAGATATCATGAATCAATTGTTGATTTTGTTAATAAAAAGTACTGACATTCTCATTGCATGACGTCATTTTGTGGCGAGTAAAATGAGGACAAATAATGTAAATAAAAAAAGATTTGTTAAAAATGCGGTTACCCATGATTGTATTTTTTGCTTATAGATGTCTAATCAGGGGCGTACGCAGGGGGGGGGGGGGGGGGGGGTTGGGGGTTCAAACCCCCCCTTTTGTATTTTTATGTGTGAAAACCCCCCTAAAAAAACCTAAACCCCCCCCCCCTTTGGAAAAAAAAAATGCCCACGGCTAACCTAAAACAGGTGACCTTACCCCCCCCCCCCCCCCCAACGAAGAAAAATGTCAAATTTTCAAATTTCGAGACCAAAAAAAAAACAAAAAAAAACGAATAATTACAATTTGATAACATTGTTACATTGTTAGATTATAGGGGATGATTTTCAGAATTTTAACTTGACGTGGTCCAAAATACTGCTTCATCATCATATGTTGTTGTTGTGTATGATGGTCTGATTATTCAATTGCGAGCATGCCAGGGGAGCCAACACAATTGTAAAAGATTTTGTTGAGGTTACATTAAGACCGATTAGTTCTGATTATTAGATGAAATAACCGATCATGATTGGGTTTTAAGCAGAATCTCATTAATGAAAGTTTGAAAAAAATGCTCTCAGCCGCCTTTGGGTAAAGTCTTTGTTAGAAATGTTTGGGGGAGATGAGGGGTGATAACAACATATTGTCATATAGCATGTAGAGTAATGATGTGTCTCAATCTTTTTTAATTGAATGGCATTTTATATAAGTGCAGTTGCTTTAAAGATAAAGTTAAGTTTTGGTATGCGATTGCATTGTGAGAGAAAAGGTGTGGAATGGATCAGAAAAGGTTGATCATGTAGCATGTAAGTATTGGTGAGTACTGCAAGGTTCTGGAGTCATCAAAATCATAATAAATTTGGCCCAGTCTTGGTAAAGTAACAACCACTGTACATAGAAAGATGTATACGAGACTACACAAAACGTGTCGGGGCTACTAACCTTGATTTCCTTATCTGTTTATATGCTCATTACTCAGCCAGCATACATTTTCTACCAAAATTTGGCAGATGACATTTATTTGTAATCTTGAACATTTAGTGTAAGTTTCGTTTGATTCTGTGAGAATTAATTTTCTTTTTTTACCAGAACTCAAGTTTATTTTTAAGTTTGAAAACTCATAAAAAGTCTGTTTTTTTATATTATTTAAAAAAGAGCTATTTATTACCTTGGCCTAAAGAAGGGATGTTGAAACTTATGAAGACAAGTACGATTTCTGAAAGGGGTACAATTCGGTCTTATGGCATTGTTGTCATTGTGCCACCTGCACCCTCCAGGCTGCATTGCCTTTCATTGTGGTGGTACAAAAAGGTTCCTGTTACTACACAAACCTGCTCTGATTTAAAAAAAAAATAGATGTAGCAATTTAGATGACTGCAAAAGGGCACAATTTGTAGGCATCAGTGGGAAATATAAGTAGTAAGAAGACACATACATTGTATCGCGGACTCTTGCTTTATAATTATCTAAACATTTCGGCTCTCTGTTCCTGCACGCATGAAGTTGCAGGTATACCCGTATAATATTGTTGCTGCAGGCCTTTGCGAGGACGTCTATTCTGCTCCTGTCTTCTCTTTACAAGTGCAGGTCACCTGTTTATCAAGCGTTCCTAATGATTTATCAAATAGTTTTTAAAAAATGGACACAAATTTGAATGCAGAAACAAGCTAATCAACGAAAGCCTTCTAGTATTATTGCAATTGCTTCCCGGTTCGTTCTCAAATTTGGTTTTAGTCAATAATTGTCTTCTACCCCCGCCCCCCCCCCCCCCCCCGCCAAAAAAAATAAATAACCGCCCTGATATTGGCACAGGGAATTTTTATAAAATATGCTGGTAGAATCTTTTTGCTACATAGTGAAAGAATGCAGGCAGATAAAATACCGATACATTATTAGCAACTACTGGTATATAGGTCTATACAGGTTTCGACTGCATTATTATGGTAACTCTTTTATTCTGAAGGAACATGGATTTTAAATTGCAAGGGAAAACCGCCGCCATCATAGGTAAGACATTTTGATTCATTAGTTTCAGACTTAGGTATTATTGAACTCTTATGTCATCAGTTTGTGAAATTTATTGTTTCTAGTTTGACATGGCTAGAGCAACACCGAATGAAAATTATTTTCACTTTGTTGTACCTGCTTGGTGACTACTAGTAAGTCTCAAATTCTAAATAATTCGCTTTTCCCGAGCATTCCTGATATTATGCAAATAAATAGAACATGTTACATTGCAAGTCGTTATCATCGACCATTATCATCGACACATTCTTAATAAAAAAGAAATGTAAAATGAAATACATATCCCATTTTGTTTTTCCTTTGAAATATATTTTTGTGTGTTTAGTGGCTGGGGCGTGAAAGCAAAGCCTGTTGTGGATAGGGACTGAGCATGAGGTGATTCTTTTTTCTTCTTTGAAACATTTAAAACATGAATTTACAGGTTAACAAATAAATTAAACAAATACAAAAAAAAAAAAATCATCATCGACACGCTGACGACATGTTTATAAAGAACAATACCAGTGTAGACATACACCTGTACCATTACGGGGAGGAATGGCCCTTATCCCTCTCAAATCAAAAGGAAGAGAGGGAGAGAGGGAGAGAGAGAGAGAGAGAGAGAGAAGGGAAGGGAAGGGAAGGTAAGGAGGCGGATGGGGGAGGGGGAGGGGAGGGGGAGGGGAGGGGAGGGAAGGGAGAACCGAAATACATATATAAGGACAGACAGACAGGCAGACCGAATATGAAAAAAGGGAGATCGTGCATAAAATGCAAAAATTTGGAGACCGATATTTATAACTCTTAATAATACAGTATATAACGACAATAACAATTGTTGTAGTTTTATTTAAAGCAATGTTGCAAAGTTAGTTAGGTGCTTAAGTACCGGGGGAAGGAGAAAACAGGATTAGTTAGGATGCATTTCAATGTTTCTAAAACTGACAACCCATCTTGAAAAGGTTCGGAGATGTGAAAAAGAGGGGTAAATAAAATTGGGGAGTTGCAAAAGTGTTCCCTTTTGTCATGTTTCGTTTTTGAAAATCTTTTCCCTTTCTCTCGTTTCAGGCGTAGAGGGCAGACTAGGTAAAGAGGTGGCCGTTCACTTTGCATCTCTTGGATGTTCCCTTGCTTTAGTAGGAAAGAATCAATCGAAGCTTGATGACATTGCCAGAGACTGTATCAGTAAAGGACTTATTTCAAAACAGGTATGTTATAGAGAATACTACGGGATCTAAAATCAATATTCAGCATGTCGAGAAAAAAAATCATAACAAATGAAGGGGTTCTTTATGGTTTAGTTCTCAGAAATGATCTAACTTGGAAATAATTATATACCCCCAAAATAATATTAAAACAATTAAAATATGGCGAAAGCATACAGGAAAAAAAATGTTTACACCTTATCAAGAGGGGCTATATTTATAGTAAATATTGTGGAACTGTAAACCATTTTCCCGGATGCGCATATTTTTTTACACAACTGTTTAGCCACTTCAGTCAAATATACTGTGCAAACGACTAGAGACAGAGTCTAGCATTACCCTTAGCAGTTTTGTTGGATTGCTGGAGCTGTACATGTACGTATGCACGTACATTCCTCTTCTCTTTCATTATGTATTTCTGTGTTCTCCTTTAATCTATCCTCTTCTCTTTTGTCATATATTTCTTTTTTTCCCTTCAATATATCCCTTTTCTCCTTAGTTATATATTTCTTTGTTTTTCCTTCAATCTATATCCCCCAGTTCTCCTTCATTATGTATTTCTTTTGTTCTACTTTATTCTAACCTCTTCTCTTTTGTTTTATGTATTTCTTTGTTTCTCCTTCAATCTATCCTTTTCTCCTTCGTCATCTATTTCTTTGTTTTAATCTGATAGATTCCCTTTCTCCTTCTTTATATTAATTTCCCTGTTTTTCCTTAGTCTAGATTTATGATCCTCTACAGCTCTTCAATTATGTATTTCTACGTTCTTCCTTTGACTTATCCTCTTCTCTTTCCTTATGTATTTCTCTTGTTTTTCCTTCTCCATATCCTCTCCACTATCCTTGTTTTCCCCTTTCTATCATTTTCCCTTCCCTGAGTGTACGTGCTTGCTGACGACTTAGACTCTTTCACCAGAGCACTTCTTGGAATTTTTTCGCCAAAATTGCTAAACAGTTGTGTAAAAAAAATATGCGCTGCCCCGCTTCCCGGATGCATAAGTCTATATCGCAATCAGTATATACGGCAATGTTGTTTACAACGTATTAAGGCCAATTATATTGATGAACAAATAAAGATTTTCCCCCATTTTGATCCAGGTCTTGGCAGTCCGGTGTGATCTAAATCAAGAATCTGATTTTGAGAATATATTTTCTAGGATTTCTGGCCAGTTAGGACCATTGCACGTATTGGTAAGTTTACATGTTTGGTACTTAGATTTCATCGATAGAGTTAGCCATTTGAACCAATAACATGGGCAATACGAATGAGTCGAGATTATTATGGGATGCGATCGAGACTATAGCGTGAAAGTAACCATTCTGCAAGTAAAGTGGATTGTCATGAAGTGAAGTATAAAATATATACACTTACACCCATAAATATATATAAGTATATTAGTGTATAGTAATGTCAGTCTAAATACTTATATTATGAAAGAAAGATTTTTTTTAAAGAGATAATTTGTGGATATCACTCTCTTGAATCCAAATCTTCCTCTTCCACTTGCCACACATCCTCTCTTCCTACTCTCTCTCTCTCTCTCTCTCTCTCTCTCTCTCTCTCTCTCTCTCTCTCTCTCTCAATTGCACCTACAATATTAATCCTCAATTTCAGGTTAACTGTGAAGGAGCAATATCGTACGGACGATTGTCTGAGCTGACGCCCTCAGCGATCAATGATGCCATGCAAGTCAATACACTTACAACTGCCATGGCAACGAAAGCGGCAACATCGTACTTGGAGAATACTCGCGGTAAACATTGCTTTCTAAATTGAAGTGTGCCAGTGTATAGCCATTGTTGCCTTATTTTTTGTCTCTGGATTATTAACGATTCCGTACCTATCGTCCTTATTATCATGGTCAATATAATATATTCATTGTAGTCGTCATCATCATCATCACGAAATCAATATTATCATTCTCACCACTATCATCCCTCTGTTCGTTCCTCCTCTTCCCCTCCTCTTCCTCCTCCTCCTCCTCTTCCTCCTCCTCCTCCTCTTCCCCTCCTCCTTATCACGCTCTTCCTCGTCATCATCACAATTACTTTCATCGTTATCACTTCTCTTTGTACGATTGTCAGGAAGTAAGACATAAATAAAAGTGTAGCTCGATCGCCGGGTGCACCTCCTCACTTTTATCTAAAACACAACAACCTTGATCTGTTACTGATTCATGGCGTTTCCTGAGGCTTCAAAGTAGGCTACCTGAATCATTCTTTTAATATATTTTTATTTTATTACAGGAGTGGTCATCAATATTTCATGCAGTTGTGCACATCGAACGGTAAGAAAGAAGAATGAAACATGACATACCTAAAAAAAAAGTAGAGAGAAAGAGAGAGAGAGAGAGAGAGAGAGAGAGAGAAGAATACGGAGGGGAAAGGAGAAAGGGAGGAGGGAGAAAAAGAAAGTGATAGGGAAAGAGTGAGTGAGAGAGAGAGAGAGAGGGAGGGGATGTATGGTCGAGGAGGGGGATGGGGAGAAGGTTGGAGAGGGAGGGAGGGAGGGAGTTCTGCATGGGTAATGGATACAACTTGAAATTGATTATATCCTAATTAATAATAGGAATTTCTATAGCGCCGTCTATCTAGAAAATAGTTCTATTCCGAGGCGCACTAATAATTACCCAGGCTATAGCCTAGCTGCATTCCAGCACTCCAGCATTTCAAGGAATAAATTCCTGCCAGGTACCTATTAACCTCACCTGAGTCGAGTGCAATTAACTCCTATCACACAGCTACGACTAATTTTAAGTGCGATTAAATTGAATCAATCGCAACTACATCTCATACAGATGTGACAGCTGGGGATGGATTGCAAAACAAAGTGCATTGCATTTCATGATTTCATCTTTAACTTCCAAATTAATTCATTTCTATCCAACAGTCGCCCAGTCTACTCGCATTCGGTATGGCCATGTCTTCAATTAACTACTTCACGCAGTGTACAGCCATAGGTAAAGAACAAACAAACTATTTAGTAAAATAATGCATTGTGATTAAAAATAGATTTGGATGATAGTTTGCTTTCAACGAAATAAATTTTTTTTTCACTTGTGATTTTTTTAAAAATTAGATTAATGATTTATTCAATATCTTCAAATTTCAAATGACAAACTTTCTTTCATCAACTTTCTTTAATCTATAATATTTATTCAGTACGTTCCGCCAAAGATCGGTTTTCAAACTTGCGTTAAAAACGTGATTCAACATTGTCATATTAATTCATCTATTATTATCACATATTAATATAGAGCTTGCTCCTAAGGGAATACGCGTCAATGCTGTAAGGTAAGTAGTATTGTTATCATTCTGTGCAATATACTTGCTACGATGACCAATCAATTTAGGAGATTGCAATTAATAAAATAATGGATAATAGAGGGAGAAACAAAATGGTAGAGTGAGACTGAGAGAGAGAGAGAGAGAGAGAGAGAGAGAGAGAGAGAAGAGAGCAAGAGAGAGAGAGAGAGAGAGACGAGATTAGGGGGGGGGGCAGTTTTTTTCTCAAGTAATTCCCATTTCTTTCTACCAGTTATAATCCATCTTTCAAAAATGTGCATATGGCAGAGGGAATTATACGAAATCAAAGTCATGAAATAAAAGGTTAGTGTAACTTGAAATTTATTGTTTAATATATTTTGTCGCTAACCTTATATTGTTGTTGTAGATAGCTTGCATGAAGATTTATACATTACTTGGAACTACTAGTAGGAAATTGCATTGTTACCAGCGTTATATTAAATGAATTTAATTAAAAGAACTGTCTACGTGTTAGTTGATTATTGACGGAAAATCTTTTGTACGTTCATTCATTTTCATCCAGTCCGTCAGTGGATGTATTTGAAAGTCTTTTGGACCCTCCTCCTGCTAAGGTAAGAATCGTAATATCTTGATAACTGCTGTGTTAATAGCTTATGGGGTTAACAACTTGTAGGGAATAGAGATATACATTTTATTTATAGAATTTTAGGTTTCACCGTCACACAAGATGACAATAGGTAACTGTTTTATGCACCACCTTGCAGTTCCAATAACTATAGCACCCCGGGGATATTTCATGTATGAATCACATTGTATTTGTGTGTAGTTGCAGAAAAAACACAAACGATAAGTTAGACAACACACACAAAAAAAGAAAAAAAAGAGGACAATGTCATTATATAATTCTTCCCAATTCACATAACTGGGTTTTATTTCAGTAAAACTGACCGATAGTCTCTATATAAATACGAAGAAAAAAAAGAAGCTTCAGAGTACAAACTCGTATATAACTATATCTGTGTAAACTACTAAATAAAGAATGGAAGAGTCAAAACACAATTAAAAAAGTCCAAGGATTGTTGGTATGTTGAAAGCAGTTTAACATACTGAAGACAATCATTGTAGTCTATTCGATCCAGCAGTATAAAGAGTGATATACAATATTTTGAAAACGTTTGTCAGTCCTCTTTTTAATGACGATACACAAACGCATTAATACTGCCCCAGCTAGGATGAGTTAAACTCCTATATGAACCCGCTAAGGCAAACAAATAAATAACCATGGTGACTAATTAGATTTCATTGCCAAATTAGGGATTTTTATTTTCTCGTGCTCTTAGTTATCAGTTACTCTGCTGTATGGGAGCCAGTAAGGCCTCATCCAAACAGTGTTTTTCTGGCTCACTGCAGACGTTGATTAGATCCATTTATGGTTTAATACAAAATCGATTGTTTTTATTTGTTTCGTTTTTAATCTTTTTTTCATCAGCCGTACCAGGAACCTCGTAAAGCCCCACTCAACCAGTCTCCTCCTACCGTCGATGACGTGCTCAAAACCATCACTTTTCTCGCATCAGACGAGAGTAGCTTTATTACAGGCGAGATTATCTGTGTCGATAACGGTCTTCATATCGCTGGGCTGCCCTTCTAGAAATAATGTTCTCAGTCTATTTCAAATTCAAATAATGTACTGAAATAGAGTCATGATATGAATAGGATTATCATTTCAAAAAAAGAAACAAAACAGAGCGAAACAAAATATAAATATGCTAAATAGAAACAACCTCAAAGGCAAAGGCAGATATGGTTATGATTATGATTATTAAAGTGTCTTTGGTTCTATGAAATTGGCTTAATTCCAAGAAATACATTTACGTAGACAAATACAGTGAAACCCGCTGTAATGGCTGACAATTGGAAACATAAAAAATGGCAATTGTACACACGTGGCCTTTCTAGAGAGGATCTCAAATACATTTTAAGGAAGAAAACGATATGACAGAGGTGGCCACTAAACAGGTTAGATCGTATATGAATTGACTGTTGGCATCATTATGGATAACATTTTATTAATAAAAATAGTTGTTATGATAATGATAATGATAATGACTACTATAGCTACTACTACTATAATAATAATGATAGTAACGATAATGTATATAAATAGCGTATTTACCGCCATATAGTCATGTTCAAATGCGCTTTACAATTAAATTGTTAACAAAAGAAGTGAGTTTTGAAATATTTTTGAAAGTATTGAGATATTGCTAGTTCCGAAGAAATATGGGTAGGATATTCCACAGTTTTGGAGCAGCAAGGCTCTATCACCAAGTGTAGGTAGCATCATGGGAGATGGATGGTTCAGAGTGGATGTATTTGAAGTTGAGAGGAAGCATTATCTTGCATGCAATGACGAGTTAATAGGCTTCAACAAAGATGATAACCAGACCTAACACAAAGGAGTCGCTTCACAGATTATTCGAATACACATTACACTGGAAAAGAGAATGCCGCACTTTTGGCGAAACAGATGACCAAAAAATATAGAGCAGATTTTTACTCCGTAAACTTGTTATCGTATAATACAGAATGTGAATACAATGTCGTAAAGTTACTCTATGAATCTATTATGAGAGGGAAGAAATCAGCAGCAAATTCTCCCGGCCAACCCCATCAATACCCACAGCCCACGATGTTACAATACTTCAGTTTCAGTTCAGCTCAGTTTGTTTTTATTATTATCATTTCGCAGTCTCAGCTGAATTACATGACAATTTACAATCAATATAAAAAAAACATCACATTTCATTTCTAAACAATGGAGTTATTCCTCAACAGGAGAACAAAATATATTGCACATAGAATATTGCAAGTTTCTCTATGTTTAAAACTTTCGGACAATGTCAATCGTATTGGATACAATTATAATGTACATTACAATGATATCAAATAATAATAATAGCTCACATTTATAATGCGCATAATACTTTGTTTCTAGGCGCAGCACATAATTAGGTTATCTAGGACTTTCAAATATAAATTTGTTAAAATATATAATAGATTTGAGATATTGTATATTAAAGATCAGAGCACAGAAAATGTATTATACTGTAGCTGCATTTCCGAATTACATTTTCTCTAACATTGTTGGAGTTTTAATTTAAAATGAATAACGTATTTGGCAACCTTTGTGAATATTTCGATTCATAACAGCACATCACGATCTTCATGTTTCATTTGGATGGCCTCCTGTTTAGCCTCTTAACTTTTTCATTTTCTGTATTTTTGTTTTCTTTTTAAGAAATAAAACATGGATCGAAATATTAAGCAAATAAACAAGATGAAATAAATACATTTCTGAAACGCTCTAAGAATCCATCCCAAATAACACAAAAGACTTAGATGTAATTCACCGATTACGTTTTTGAACTTGTCAATATGCACGGCTCGAGTATTTAGTACGCTTTTAACAAGTTAGATCATAGATTAATTTAGGACACATGAGGCAGGTAAATTTCAGCACAGAAGCGGTAGTCTAGAAAAGGAGGTTGGGGTGGGGGTGCCTGGGGTGCTCAATACCCTCCCCAGTTGTCTTGTTTATAATGAATGAAAGCAACGTTCGTATTGAATGGAATCTATTAACCCATAAGACTTAAAACCCCAAAGCGCCCCACCCCCATAACAAAAGAAAAAATCTTCTCGAACCTTGCTTGCATGTTCACCTATTTTGAGTGGTTTACCTCCACGATTCTGGGTCAAATCTAGGAGGCATTTCCCATCGTTGATTAGGATTTGATTCTAAACATGACGTCATCTCTATCCTCGTAGAACCCTTGTCTGTAAACTGTATTCCAAGGCATGCATTATGATAACCGTGACGTATTTGCTTTGTCTGTAAAGTAATAATGATAGAACAACGGTAAAAATCATAACAATATTGATATGTACAAGACTCCGAAGTAATCCTTTAGGCTTTTTGAGATCATTATCGTGAGTGTAGATTGTTTCTGCAAACCATTTTGTATTATTTCCTTGTTTTGTTTAAGATCAATTTGTCTGCCTATGGCCATTGAGTCTGATCAATAATAATAATAATAATAATAGCTAGTTCTTATATAGCGCTTTCCAGGACCGAAGGCCCTCTCAAAGCGCTTTACAGATATATATATATATCAATAAAGTTCTGAGAAGATATTAACTTTATATATCAAGAATAAATCATATCGTCACAATTATTTCTTGAAAAGTGGTAAAGAATAATTCATTTCAACATTGTGGGCAACATTTAAGTTGTCTAGTTTGCTTTGTAATTCGATTATGAAGCTGTAAGTAATTTTTTTTAATTAATTGGTGACCAGAGCTGCGTCTCACGCAACCGTCATAAGTACAAGTTTGCCGACATCCCTTTCAAACGCGTATATTAAGTTTAACACGCGTTTATAGGATGTCGCTAAACTTCGCCTACTTATGACGGTTTCGTGAGACACAGCCCAAATGAATATGTTCCTTGAATTAATTACTTCATTGATTCAATTGTAAATCTTTAGACACATTACCGAATTGTTCCATGTCCATAGCTGATTTCCTTTGCCCTTGTGACAGTGATATGTGGATAATTCTGCTCCTTCTCCAGTGTAATCAATGCAATCTAACTCTTGCTTCAGCTCATTGAGGCTGGTGTACTCCCACAGCTATGAGAGAATTTAAAGAATATGTAAATCTATTTCAAATTGCAAGGAGCTTGATTTAAAAAGAGGAAATCAAACACTAATGTACTCAGAACTTGAACATTTCTGCGAATCAGGTTACTCAAATATTAACGTGAGAAGGTGAATTATAGTAGCAGTATAGTTGTAGTAAAATAAAATAGGAAGATTAACAATACTACTACTACTACTATATTTCTACTACTACTACTACCACCACCACCACCACCACCACTACTACTACTACTACTACTACTACTACTACTACTTACTACTACTACGACTACTACTATCACCACCACCACCACCACTCCTCCTACTACTCCTACTATTACTACTACTACTACTACTACTACTACTACTACTACTACTACCACCACCACCACTACTACTACTACTACTACTACTACTACTACTACTACTACTACTACTACCACTACTACTCCTACTATTAATACTACTACTACTACTACTAATATTACTACTACTACTACTACTACTACTACTACTACTACTACTACTACTACTACTACTACTAATAATAATAATATTAATGATAATAATAATCATATAGTTATAATCACAACATTTATATAGCGCTTGCGCTGTACTATTAATATTAGACCTACATTGGTATTAGCCGAGCTACCCTGATAAGACGTTCTGGCATTTGATGAATTATTTCACACCGGATACCCATTTCATGAGTACAGAGTGGCAAATGTATTGCCGCAGTTACCCCATCCGCGCGAAGCGCCGAAGCTTAGACATTTCATTAAATTATTAAACAACGAAGACGATTCGTTGTACTGCTCTCGACTCTAAACCCTTGAATGAATTCAGATCCACCAATCGCGCGAAGCGCGGAAGCTTTGACGTTTCATTACATTATTATAGAAAGCAGACGATTCGGTGTAGTATTCTCGACTCTTAATCCTTAATTGTCTGAATTCAGTTTCCCCCTATCGCGCGAAGCGCGGAAGCTATGACGTTTCCTTAAATTATTAGAAAAAGCAGACGATCTGTTCTACTGGTCTCGACTCTTAATCCCTGTCTGAATTTAGTTTACCGCTCCCGTGCGAAGCGCGGAAGTTTTGACGTTTTATTAAACTATTAGAGAAAGAAGATGATTCGTCTTACCGTTCGCGACTCTTAATCCTTGTCTGAATGAAGTTTCCTCCTTAGACGTTTCATTAAATTATTAGACAATGAAGGCGATTCGTTGTACTGTTCTCGACTCTAAACCCTTGTATGAATTCAGTTTCCCCCAATCGTGCGAAGCGCGGAAGCTTTGACGTTTCATTAAATTATGAGAGAAAGCAGACGATTCGTTGTACTTTTCTCGTCTCTTATTCCTTATCTGAATGAAGATTCCACCCTTCCGCGCGAAACGCGGAAGCTTTGACGTTTCATTAAATTATTATAGAAAGCAGACGATTCGGTGTAGTATTCTCGACCCTTAATCCTTAATTGTCTGAATTCAGTTCCCCCCAATCGCGCGAAGCGCGGAAGCTTTGACGTTTTCTTAAATAATTAGAAAAAGCAGACGATTCTGTGTAGTATTCTCGACTCTTAATCCTTAATTGTCTGAATTCAGTTCCCCCCCCAATCGCGCGAAGCGCGGAAGCTTTGACGTTTCAATAAATTAATATAAAGCAGACGATTCGTCGTACCGTTCTCGACTCTTAATTCTTGTCCAAATAAAGTTCCCCCCTCCCGCGCGAAGTGCGAAAGCTTTGGCGTTTCATTAACATATTATAGAAAAAGGATGATTCGATGTACCGTTCTTGACTCTTAATACTTGTTTGAATCTAGTTTACCCGAAAATTTTAAACCTCTGATTTCTTTAGCTGATATTATAGGAAAGTCAAACTTTTAGAAAATACAAGTATTATAGTTGTAGTCTCTCTCGATGTCGTCACAGCGGATAAAAGTCACAGTTAGTAGGGGAAAAAAACTTGTCGGCCAACCGACATTATACATCTCATCGACTTCAAATTCCTGCATTTATATAGTACTCGAGGATCGAGCAAGAATACCGACACAGCTGACCCGACATAGCAATATATTTATGCGTGTCTTTCTTGCTCCCTCGACGAGACGGCTCCACCCAACAATCCCCCTCTTTTACTCCCACCCACCCTCTCTCAGGCTCTTACCTTCCCTTGTTTCCTTTTTCTCTTTTTTTCATCCTTTTTCCCTTTTTTTTTTCTCTTTTCTTTTCTTTCCTCTCCTCCCTCTTTTTTTCTCTTCTCTTTCCTTTCCTCTCCCTTTTTCCTTTCTTTTCTTTTCTTTCCTTTCTTTTCCTTTCTTTCCTTTCTTTTCCTTTCTTTCCTTTCTTTTCCTTTTCTTTTTTTCTTTTCTATCCTTTTCCCTCTCTTTTTCCCCCTCCCCCTTTTCTCTTTTTTTCCCGACGGCAGCGCAATTTTACCGACAATATCCTGACAGGCGGGGGGGGGGGGGTGTTGCACCCCCCTTTGGCGACGCCCCTGGTCCCAGGACGTATCCACAAGATCACGATATCTCTATAGTAATCGCAATTGCAGATAAATGTATCTTCATTTTTTTGCTGAAGTATCAATACAGTGATGTAATAATAATGTGCTAATACAATAGTTATCTTTGTTTAATATTATTATCATTACATTACATTCATTACATAACATTATTGTCAAAATAGTAAACAACTTTATTTTGGATAACCATCATCTAAACTTTTCAAAGTCAAAGTAAATGCTGATTGTTAATAAAATTTGAAGGGTTAAACAGATAGATTACCCTAATATTCAAGCTATCCCCCCATATGTTTTTGTTTTCTTAAGTTTTCTTCTCAAAGAGTAAGGGGTAGATCTCTCTTTATTTTGAAGTCATTACGAAGCAAATCGGTCACCTACCCGTTTTTCATTGAATCGTCCACACGGACTTCCTGTGATCTTCTTATCAGCTCTCTTGTCAAGGCAAATGTTAAAGTCAGGATTCCGTATCTGAGAATAAAGTAAAATAAGCTTTACTTCAACCTATCTCTTTGAGAAAGTAACATACCAAGTGGGATATAAAGACATGCGCAGTGGTCTATCAAAGCAACATATTTCTATCTTAACAGATTTCTGTGCTTATTTATAATCACATTCGACATATTTTGAATTGGTAGCAGTATAAAATTTCAGTTAATCCACACAAGTTAATTGCAGGCAACTGATAAATGATATGAATTTTACTTTTCTTGTTATAGAGTTATCGAGAATGTGAGGAGATGGAACTAACGCCACTGGGCATGATGTTGCCCGACTTAAGTAACGCTTTTCTCAAACATTTCTTCGTTACCTGCACATATTGATGTTATTACTTTCTATGGCTTGTAGAAATAAAGAAAGGGCATTCAATTTATTTATTTATTTATTTGTTATTTGTTCTTTATACAGAGTAGTCTTTTGAGTACATAAAACTGATTTGCAAGAGAGTGCTGTATAAAAATAATGAAATAAATATACAATTTATAAAAAAACAAAAAAAAAACAATACAATACATAAGAAAACAAAACCAGTGCAAAACAAAAAGACTGACAATGGAAACTAGTATTAGCCTTTTGATCAAGATACACACAATTCAAATGTATGGATGTTTCTTATCTTTGGATTAATAGTGGTGAGGTAGCCCATTAACCTGAATGGACAACAATACTTTGAATCCAGTCTGCATACATTATATGTTGCTATGTCGGGCAAGCCTAAGGTAAGCTTACATGTTGTCAAGACAAACCTTTCTTTAAACAGTATGCATACAACATGCCGGTCTATTCAGCTAAACTATACTCAATGAATTCGAACCTGAAAGTTGATTTACTTACAAACCCGAAAATGCTTCCCTTCCTCGGCCAGGGTGATTCTGGGAATACATTATCAAGATACCAGTCAAATGACTTGCAATCCAGCTTCTTACGAAGATTAATCTGATCTTGAATGTCTCCAGCATCTATCCTCAACACATCTGGATGTAGTTTATAGTAGAAAGCACGTGCATCACCTAGCCATACTTCAATGAGGCGCTTGTTGTTACGGTGAAAGTAACTGCCCATGCCACTGTAAGGTGCAAACTTGCGGAAGATATGACCCACGTGTGAACAGGCCATGGTATACAGAGATCCACCACACATCCACGTCTGTAAACAAAAACAAAAAAAAATTAATTTGGTACTCATTTAAACACAGTCCCTTGGTCTAAGGTTAAACCAAGACTAAGGTAGCTAATGCGTTAGAAATAGACCGAAGCGCAAGCCCCCCCCCCTTTAAATAAATCTATGCACTATTCTGTCTGGAGGATATTCTGCCCCCATTGCTCGTGTTCATCCGAGACTTGTATTCTGAGGGAACAATTATGGGAAGAATTTACCAGAAAAATGTTCCCCCTAATTTCTGACAACCCGGAATGCACCCAAGTAAGTAGAAAGAAATTCTCCTGATTTACGGAGTGCTTAAAAGTGCAAAACCGTCAATGCAGTTAAATTAACACGAAGAAACTATTTTCGTAACGCAACGAACGAGAACAAGCATTCAGTCCATACTGTTTATCTAGACGCCATCGTTTAGTGAACACTGTCATAATCATGAAGAGTGTCGTTAATTACCAAATGTCAGTATCACCTTCATTCTTTTTAAGCTCTCCTTTGCTCTTTTCATACTACTTCTACATCTTCTATGGATTCAAGGTATGTTTTCCCCTTCTTTTTTCTTATCAATATTTGATTGAAACTTATCTTATTTTTTCGTATTTATTTCTAACTCCTTTCCAGCAATAGGCGCCAGTTGTACAACCTTCACTATGATACATCATTTTGTTATTTCTATTTATGATAAGGCCTATAATATCACCATTACCATTATTTCACATTCTGTTTAAATGATGGTTGGCTTCCAGGGTTACATGGATTGTATCTGCCTCTCTGTATTTTCGTTGTTCTTTATTTTCTCTTTTTTTTCTTCTCTACCTCTTCACAGTTTCTTATCATTGTATTTAGTCCTTTTCCTCAGTCTTAATGTTTTGATAGTGAGCAAAGCTAAGATTTACCTTGAAAGAAAGCTCTATATTCTCAGCTCCCCAGATCTGAAAACCAGGATCATACATGCCCAATTCCATGAAGTAGCCCTTATCTATGGAGAATAGCCCTCCCGCCATAGTGGGTGATCTGATCGGTAAGGTTGGGTTTCTTTTTGCCTCTTCTAGATCCATGGTTTGTATCGCGGTCCAACGAAAAGCCATTGTCCAACCAAAACTGCCGACCTTGACAAATAAAAGAACAAAAAGGTATTTTTGAAAACTGAACATAGATAGGAGTGTAGGCAAGGAATGAAAACATAGAGATGGACAATACAATAATTGAGAGAGGGAGAACTAAGAGCTGAAATTAATTCAGAAAACTTTTCAGTGAGAGTGTAGTCGAGGGAGAGAAACAAGGGAGTGAAAGAGAGAGAGGAATAGATGGAGAGAGAGACAGAGAGAGACAGACATAAAAAAGGCATAAAAGAGAGAGAGAGAGAATAAAAAGAGGCAGGTGTAATTTTTTATCATATATAAAGATATTTTATTGCATTTTTGCCAAATCTATTTCTTTTAAAGAAATAACAATTAACAGTGTAAGAATAAAAGATATTACCTGAGGGAGTTGGTCACTCCCTTTGTATGCTAGGTCATTGTCATCTATAACATCTATTGTAGGGGTAACAACATTCCTCCTAAACCACAAGGATAATAAGAAATACAAAACCATAAAGTAACATCTCATGAAAGATTGTGAAGAATAATCATTAATCCCCCGATTCGTTCTTCACAAAAACACTTGTGTATGTTAATATCTTTCAAAGGTTCATGGTGATGAAAGGGTGATGATGATGAAAATGATGAAAGCAATGATATCAACAAAAATGACAATATTTTATTCCGCACACTAGAGCTTGTGTTTTATGTGAAGAAAATGAATCGTCTATGGCGAATGCATTTTGTACAAACGAATAAGATGAAATGAAGTTCGCTCTTACCTTAAATTGGATTGAATTAGCATAAAAAAGAAGAAACAAAAATGAAAGTTAAGCCGGAATAAAGATATAAATTACACTAAATATTGGAATGAAACCACCACTTACATTGCAATACTTTACAATTGTTATAACATAAAAAAAGCCATTTTAGTGAAACCTTGTCTCAGATGACAATAATTTCAAAATAGCATATAATATATATACAACATTATGAATGCAATCCTGTTTGTATATGATAACACAAATGATTTGAATAAAACATACACACCTCTACTTTCAAATCAAATATTGACAGTAAATATTAGACCAACTCAAAAACATTAAATTTACAAGGGTATGAATAATTTAGTTTTTGACTGTATGTTTATTATGTTAAGTGAATTCGCATGCAAATTGTGAGCAAAGCAAATTTCCACTGGACAATAAAAAATGAAATTTATACCTAAAAACAGAACCATACGAATATTCATACGAACCTGTCTTTATCGATAACAGCTAGAAGAGGCTCAAGCCATCCTACGTTGACTTCACAATGTGAATCCAGAAAGGTTAATATATCACCGATAGCATTCAAAGCACCATGGATACGGGCTCTAATCAACCCTGAACGAGTGGGTAACCGTTCAATACGTACCCGAGCAGACGAGTGAAAATGGCGAGAAATATAATCATCAAGCTTCACTTTTAAATGTTCTGCACAAGGTAAAGAGATATACATAGAGGTTTTACATTCAGTTCGTTTAGCGTTGATAAATGAGCAGCATTCATAGCATTGTTAAAGACATCATTAGCAAGGTGAATACCCATCACATCACTACTACCAAACCCTTCAAAGATCGACGTTATAATGTTATACTCAATGTTATACTCAATGAGTAAAATATCTATTTTAAATTTATATATATATATTAAATTTGAGACCTACACTAAGAGAAATAACTACATCTAAAATCAAGATATCAAATTTAAAGAAAGAAAACAAATACGCCTAATTTTTTCATAATTTTCTGCAGGTAAACTGTCTCGTAAATGAAAAAAAAAGAGAGGATATTCTAACGTAAATTCAGCATATTCGAAAATATGAGAACATCCCCTCCATGTCAGCCATTTTGTACTGACAGCCCATTAAGAATGGTCTTTAAAAACTAGTGATTGGACCGCGTCCAATGTACCACTGTCATCAACGAGAATGAGCTCCTTATTAAAAATGGGGCTCCTATACCCTCACTCCTACCCCTCGATTAAACATAGTCTAACAATGTACATGGTATGAAGATAATTATTATGTACTGTGTGTGCTAGCATCATCAATCAAGATGAATTCATCTAGAAGATGTATACGCCCCCTGCCCCTCCAATTCAAAATGGTCTATCAATGCCCCAGATAGGACCTTCCCTGTGTGATGTCATCGTCAACCAGAAGAAGTTTTTATCCCCCTCTCCACCCTCTATTCAAAATGGTCTATCAATGCTCCAGATAGGACTTACCCTGTGTACTGGCATCGTCCACCAGGATGATCTCTTTTAGGAGATGCCTAGGTGACCTGTTGATAACACTATGCACTGTCCGGAGCAAAGCACTGAAAGCCTCGTTGTGAAAAATGATGATGACACTGGTAGTAGGTAGTACCTCAGGATAAACCAGCGACTTACATCTACAGATAAAATAAGAATCAGTGGCGTAATCATTTATCTATAGGGAAGGAGGCGGCGCAACACTTCCCGGAAAACACGTGGAAATCCCGTTATTTTCTGAGCCTAGCAGGACCCGTATCCACACAGCTTCACTAGGCTACTTTTCTACTCACTAAATATAATTTATGAAGTTGTGTGAAACTTACTTACTTTTAGTTAGGTTTTATGAAGATGGGTATAGTTATTTAACATTATTTTCAAATAATTGTGTGTAATAACTATAAAGTAAGAACGTGTATACCTATATGCAATGTCATTCCTTTTATATATAATTTGCATTACTATCGTAATTCTATATCCAGCGTCGGAATTTATAATATATATTATGTTAATTGCTCTAGCCATGAGGCTGAGTTTTCATATCTTTTCATACAAAACGTCTCTCTGATGAAGACGTACGTCAAAATTGTGAATCGACCAGACGAACCTGCAAATATGCAGTCCAATTATTCAATATGAAATTTACAAATGTCATATCATCTGTGTGCTCAGCTGGCTTTAAATCGGTGGTGTTTATTCCCCCAGGGGCTAGTCTCCAGTCGTATGGTAGTGGTGAATGGTGGTGGTGGTGGTAGGGAGTGGAGGGGGGGGGGGGGGGTGAAGGAGAAGGCCTACCCCAATATGGCTGGACGCCCTATTCAACGAAATATGTCTGTCTAAATAATAAATTAAAATGCATTTTGCATTCTATTTTCTAGTTCTTCCACTTGATGATCCATTCAAGTTTTGCTGAATGTGGATGACAAAAACGTACGGTAAACGTTCTTTTACACACGCCTCCTCAGTTTTAAAGAATTCACTTCCAGATTCCATGAGAAATCACAATAATTTGAACAAGTTTAAGGTTTCTCTTAAAACGTATTTATTCAATGTTAAAAGTGTACACCCATGAACTAAGCGTCCAACACTACGTGTCCTTCTTTGCTTCTAAGTGGATTTTGTAATTTGTATGACTTTTTCTTGTAATTCTTTCCTTTCTATTTGAAGCGCATAGGGACATGCTATCCTGTAATGTGTTATGCGCTATAAAAGTACTGAGTATTATTATTATTATTAACTTAAAGATATATAAAAAAAAAAAAAAAAAAAAAGGAAAATGTTAAGGTATGTTATGTGAATGAGTTTTTATTGAAAACACATCAATATCCAACTGGGAGGAGTTGGGGGGGGGGGGGGGTGTAGTGTACTTCCAATGTAATTGATAAGCGGTGAAGTATCCATCACACTGAAGAGAAGGCGAACACCTGTCCATGTGTGTGTGTGTGTGTGGGGGGGGGGGGGGAGGGGGTAGAGGTGTGTGTGTGTTGGGGATTGGTAGGGTGTGTGCGTGTTGTTTATTGGGGTGTAACTTCCAATGTAATTGATGAGCAGTGGAGTATCCATCACACTGAAGAGAAGGCGAACACCTGTCCATGTGTGTGTGTGTGTGTGTGTAGGGGGGGGGGAGGGGGTAGAGGTGTGTGTGTGTTGGGGAGTGGTTGGGTGTGTGCGTGTTGTTTATTGGGGTGTAACTTCCAATGTAATTGATGAGCAGTGGAGTATCCATCACACTGAAGAGAAGGCGAACACCTGTCCTCGTATTATTGCCTGTCTGCAAACAGCACCAATAATTATTAAAAAGGAGTGGATGAAATAATATTTGGCCAATAATAGTTCACATTTCGCAGGACAGTTGTTCAAAAAGGCGTTTATTTGCCACGTTTTCATGTCTATCAACATGCCTCTCTGATTAGTGTATTATGATTTCACTATAGGCCTGTTCTCAAAGTCGGATGAGAGAAGAAAATGTGTGAATGCAACTAAATCTAACTTTCAGTGTTGGCTCAGTCAGTAGAGCGTCCGCATCACAACCGGGAGGTCGTGGGTTCGAACCCCGGCCACGTCATACCAAAAGACGTTAAAAGATGGGAGTTGTTGCTACCTTGTTTGGCGTTCAACAATAAGGGATAGAGCAACGTCGTTTGGCGCTGCTCAGTGGCTGCCGGGCTCACGATCAATTGAGCAAAAAGAATTTCCGTTTCGGTTTAATAAAATTTGGAGTTGACTATTAGGCTATTATTATTATTATTATTATTATTATAATTTAAAAATGAAATGTGAACTTACTGTTGTGGTCTCACATCAGGTAATGATCTATTGAATGCTATCATGTCGCTAGCTAGGAGATTGAATGCATTCTTATGGTAAAGAGCATCAGCATGGGTCTTCATGTCACCTTCAAAGATAACAGGTTTACCCATCTCTCCCAGTGGATGAGCAGGATCAAACAGTCTCTCTGGAAGCTCTGTTTGGGGGTAGAACATTATTTTAAATCCATTTGAGTTTGATCGATTCATTTGAAATCACATAAATCGGTTGTTTTTTAATTTCCCCGTTGCGTGATATCTGTCACGTTTAGGCGATTTTAGTACTTTGATGTAGCAATTTATGTTTAATTACATTTTAATATGTGTCCCCTTCTCACATACAAAATTATGTTATTACTTATATTTTTCATGTCAGACGTTCGGGTAAAATCATTTAGGATCCAGTTCTGGATTCTGATGCATCATATAGCTAACACCATCTATTTAACCATGTTATGTGCAATAAGCCCCATCCCTTTAATCAACCCCTTAGTTATTTGTGTAATTTTTCACCCGCCGTGTATCTTGTAGTTCATAATAAAGTTCAATAATCCATACAGTATTTGCTTTAAAAAATAACAGTGAGTGCAACTGCATTTGTCACTACATACTATTGTCAGAAATGAGGGTTTATCCAAAGCCAGAGCCAATAAACGTTACAATACAAATATTAAATCTCTTGAAATTTGAGCCATGAGGCTTGACGTTGCACATAGCCATTGTATGCGTCATTCACTGCCTAAAGGGATATACGCTGTGCGTTTCACAAATGATATTACAGCCTATTCACGTAACATGTCTCTATTCATATACGTGTAACTCTACCAACTGAACGTCTAATATATAAATCATCTTCCTAAAGCAATCCCTAAATAGCCTTCTTCACAATATGATGTCTCCTTTGAAACCGTTTCATGCAGTGTCAAAAGGCCTTGCTTCACAAGCATGGCTTATGATATGTAAAACATTACAATGTACGTGGTGATGTTATAATCAATATAACCACTGTTCTTTGAATTCTTGCATTCTATCATGTTTATGATTTTCTGTTTTAACAATGAATGAAGGATACCCGAATAAGAGTGAGAGAGAACGAGAAAGAGAGAGAGAGAGAGGGAGGGGAAGAGAGAGAGAGAGAGAGAGAAGGGGGGGGGGTGAGGGAGAAAGATTGTTTGAGGGTATAATCCAAGGAAGACAGAGAAAGAGGAAGAAGAAGAAGAAGAAGAAGAAGAAGAGAGAGAGAGAGAGAGAGAGAGAGAGAGAGAGAGAGGAAAAAGAAAGGAATTGCAATTAAATAAATGATATCAGTTTCCCTTAGAATCCTCTTTTGTTAGTGATCAATGTTATGTTTGTATTACAGATCGTGTACCGTGTGCGCCATGAAGCTCGAAGCTATACAAACCAATCAATAAGGTTAACACCTGTTGCGATTACAGACTCTATAGATTTTTTACACTTGCTTGCATTGATGAGCAATTAAGAATCATACATTAATTTTTATAACACTTATAAGCCATTACCGGCACGCAGCTTGGTCATATAAATTCACTTTTAGAAAGAATATCATCAAACCCCGCCCCCCCCCCCCCACTCAGGGGTCGGAATGACCGCATGCGTGTTACCAAAATGTCCGGTAAAGGGGTACTTTTCGTGCGACAAAGTCCGGCCCGAGAATTGTAAAAAAAAGGGGTGTATTTGACTTTTCACCCGGAGATTTCTTTAAAAAGGGGGTGTTTTTTCTTTTTTCTCTCTCATCTCTTTGGAATCCTGAGAAATTATTCCGAATTTAGGGGGGTACATTGAGCATTTTTCTTGATTTAGGGGGGGGGGGGGGTGTCTCCAAGGCAGGAAAAGCCCGCGGAAGGGGATTCGGAAATGTTGGCAGTCCTCAGATAGGGGGTGCTTTCAAAAAGAGGGAACGAGCATATGCGTACCCTAAATAACACTGAGTGGGGGCCGGGCATCAAACATTTTACGAAAAACCTTTAATTTGTCAAGATATTTATCAACACTCCCAAAACATGCCAACATGAATGAAGTATTTATGAACATGATGAACAGCTTTTGTATGGCCAGTTGAAATAATATTTTCAGCTTTACATCAAGGAAATTATAATCAATAAATAAGTTTTAATGACTATGTTTTTGGATAATTGACACAGTGGTTTTCACAATGTCGTGTAAACGGACCTTTATATTTTCATCATGCTCATAGGCAGACTGACATGACAATCTGTATACCAATTATCTGAAATGCATTTAGTGTGTGGATAGGTATTGGTTTTTTACTTTAATGGGGGGAGGCTGAATGGCATCTCTTATTTAATCATGAACACAAAATATTGTGTCCGAATTCTGCTGAAAAGGTCTTTGGCATGTTACGAAAATGCGCTCACATCTCGCAAACGATTCACATCATGTATTCACTAGGCTATTTAGTGTTGTATTTCTATTTTGAGTTTTACGCCTCGAAGCGAGCTAAGCATTCCAGTATAACATTTTAAAACGGATAAACAACGACAAACAACACCATGTTTATTTGAGTAATGGTATAGAATATTTGTCAAATATTTCACGAAGACTTTATCTTAGAAACAGTCGTGTTTGTGTTTAAATACCTTTCTTAAATTTAAATTTATCAGGATCAATGATGATAAGTTGAGGAGCCTCTGTTGTGATTATATTCTCCTTGTTTGGTAAACCATCCGCTGCTACATTGTTGATAGCAGGTCTGTGAAGGTCTGGTAGATGTTCTTGTCGTACGTCTTCCTTCACACCATCTTTTACCTTGGTGATATTATGAGCAACACCCTCTGATGATGATGATGATGTCCTCGGCTTTAGAAGATGGTCCCCCAACTTTCTTGTATCCTTAAGGTCATCTTTCTTTGTCTTATAGATTTTAGCCTTTGGTGGATTGTTGGGTAATATGAATTCTCCATCAGCAAAGTGATCATCTATTTCTTGCTGGTGTAGTTTTATATCATGCATTTCATGTACAAGACCCATGTGTTCATCTAATACATTGGGTTTGACTTCCTGCTCCTCTGCGGCCTGGCGAGCGGCATCGTTCACGAATCGTGGCATGGTCCTACGATTAATCGGCTTCTCATCTTGCCTTTCAACAACCTCAAGTACTTGCTCAAAACCGATATCAAGATCTTCATGTCTAGCGTCAATGCCGTCATTTCGGAAGATTCCTCTACCAATAGTACAGATGAATACTATAAATATTGCAAACATGCAGTATTTCAATGCTTTCCGCACGTGACGTTTCATCATGATTTACTGATTGGTTCAATAAAATTCAATTTACTACAATCCCTCGTAGCTAATTAAGAGATCGGCAAGGAACTCTAAGGTCGCAGGCATCAATATTAGTTGAATCGTACTTGATATTTATGATATAGTAAATAGGCCCTATACGTTGCTCTCTGATCTCCTCGTATACACCCTATTATCTCCTATTAATTTGTGCGTTTCTCCACCTGTTTTTCACAAAATCGATCGATGGACGCGTAGGCTATGTCTCGTATATTGCTTCCAAACCGAACCCATCGCACACACAGCCTATGTCCTTGTTCAGCATGCTCTACCACACCAGAATAAAGCGACCTCATTATGATATTCTGACTGACATCAACATCAAATTTTATTCAGATGCAGTTGATTGATGGTTAATTTTGCGAGTGCTATTGATATTTAATCATACTTGTCAATATGTATGTATAGACTCCCATCATCTAATGCTGTTCACGTTGATGTATATTTCATATGTATTGTAATTTTTAGGTTTATTTGTGATTTTTGTTTAATATGTAAGTGTTTGTCATTGTATTTTGTTTGTTATAGCGCTGAGAGACTTCGGTGGAAAAAACTTTTAAGCACCGTTTAATTATTATTATTATAAGTTGTCTATGATGAATCTACAATATAAACATTGTAATGACGCGAGATTAAAATGGGAAAATCGTGAATGTAGACCTCTTATTACTAAAATGAAGGGAAATTTCAATTAATAATTCAAACGCCATATGAATTATTCATGACGCGAAGCTCGCGACTACGTCATACGTAGGCCTAATAGTACTGGAACTTGATATCTAGTGTATTTTGTAAACACGATCCACTTAGTGATAGTAAAGTATTCCTTGACATTGTCTTTATATCAATACAGAATATTGATTTGTTACATTACATTTTAAATTGATTTATATATTTATAAGGAGAATATTGATGTAGGCCTACATCAATGAAGTTTAATAAATACAATACAAGTTAGTATTAAAGGTAAAGACCAGTATTTGAAACGACCCAATCTCAAAAAATGAAATGGAAGCTCTTATTACCAATCATGTGAAAGAATATGTTTTGACTAATACATGATGATAACATTTTTGCCGGGAAACCGCCTACTAATTAATATATTTGGTAAATTAATTTATCTATTGGTGTGTGAGAGATAAACGCACATGTCGCGCACGTGTGCGTAGTCCCATATACATCTTTCTGTGTACAGTGCTTGTAACTTTACGAAGACTGGGCCAAATTTCTTATCATTTTGATGATTCCAGAACCTAGCAGTACACACTAATACTTATATGCTAGATGATCAACCTTTTCTGATCGATTCCACAACGTTTTTTTCACAATGCAATCGCATTCCCATAACTGGTCTTTATCTTTAATAGTTGTATGCAAAGTCATAATAGTAAGGAGATACTCTAAATTATCAGTCTTTTCAAAGAAAAATTTAAGAAAATATAAAATACAGGTACTTGTTTTAAATCCATTTTTTGTAAACATTTAACAAGGTTGCACGATGCCGATGATACCCTGAATTATACAAATTTTAAATCTCATTTTTTCGATCCCCTAACCCCTTTCTTAGACGATAAACAAAATTAAAACTTTAATGTCGTCAAAGTTTTGTTATTTCCAAAGTAAGGTCTTAACATGAAGGCCTACTTTATTCGTGGTGGTAGTAATACAAATTTGACTGATTAAGATAACTAACTACCAGAAGTCATTTATCCTCTTGTTTTTTTTTTTTTATTTCTCTGTCGCAAACCCTCCCTCCACCATCTTCCACCTTTATACAATGTCGACACACGGTCTTTATCTTTCTCTCCCCTCTCTGTCTATTATTGATCTCTAACCATTGTCTTCCCTTCTTTCCCTATAAGGATTAAGAGATGGGTAAAGAGGCACAGACAGAGAAAAGGAGAAACTAGAGAGACAGAATGAGAAAATGAGAGGATGAAAAGAGAGAGAGAGAGAGAGAGAGAGAGAGAGAGAGAGAGAGAAAAAGAGAGAGGGAGGGAGAGAGAGAGAGAGCGGAATAGACGGACATAAATTTATACAGCGACATGGACACAAAAAACTCGTATTTTATCATATTCCCATGAAAACTCGTCAATAAATTATGTCTACTCTCCTTTTATAGAAAACACTACTAGAATTAACATCCATTATAATTTAGTCACAAATTAAGTACCAATGCCCTTTGAGATTTATATGCATCAAAAATAAACACGGCGGATGAGAAATTAAACACGCTACCATGTTCACTGGCTATGTCTCCCTCTATATGTTATATATCTTCTTTGAAATTGTCATTGACACTAGTGATAGGCCTACGTGTAATTCAATAATTGCCCTTTTGTATTTCCGACCCATACCATAAGTACTTCAAATAAAAGCACAATCGATAACAATTGTATCTTAAATCTGAATCTCACAAAAGAAAATTAAAATGTGGACTTGAACATCAGCAGTGATAACCCAGTCCACTGGATCAAAGGTCGGGTGACATCCAAATATAAGTGGATTCCTTTGGATGTGCTGTTCACATTAAAACGAAATGTAACAAACACACTAACAAGAATTATTCAGTAAGAAATATGCAGAAGAAGGGATACCACAATAAGTGCTGGCGTCGTACCGTGATGACCTGCGGTGAGGGGGGGGGGGGGGGGTGGTGGGGTGGGGGAGGGGTGATTTTTGAAATACATGGTTATGATAATGAAGATGAAAGTGAAAATGTCTTAAAACACTTTTTGTATAATAATAATAATAATAATATGGATATTTATATAGCGCCGGTATCCGCCAGGCTCTGACGCTCATGGCGCTGTACACATTATTTATCACAAAAATATAACTTTCTTAACTACAATAAAGTAAACTTAAACAACACAAATTATTACGCTACATTAACATGCTTACATAGCACTGTTTAGAAAGAGATGGGTTTTTAGAGCAAATTTTAAGTCATGAAGGGTAGTTAAATCGTTTTAATCATTCTTAAAATTATTGTTGTTATAATAATTATGTTCGCCATTATCATCATTATTATCAGTATTATTATCATTATCATCATTATCATTATCATTGTTCTCATTATTACTATGAGTATCATTATTATTATAATTATTGTTAATCAGTTGAATTTACTATCTTTTGCATTTTCATTCTCCGCTAGCTCTCTCTCCCTCTCTCCCTATCTGTCTCTCTCTCTCTCTCTCTCTGTGTGCCTTTTGGCTATTAGTTTTTATATATTCTCAATGAGGTCCTCATTAACAATCAATACCAGTGTCGTAGCTTATCGTGGGTATAAGAGGCGTAAAAATCGGGGGAGGGGCATCAGTAGTATTATGCAGATGAGATGTTAATGAACAAGGAAAACGATTAATTTGGTTTTGGTTTTTGTACGGGGGTTGGTATTAACTTCTTTTCATGTTGCATCACTCTCTACTTTCCCCCTTCCTTTCTTTCGCTCTCTTTCTCTCTCTCTCCCTCTTTCTTTATCCATCCATCTCTCTCTCTCTCTCTCTCTCCCTCCATTTTTTCCTGTCTTTCACCCGTCACCTATCGATTTAACAGGGGGTAGTTCCCCACCTGTTAGCTTCGCCAATGATCGCTACATATAGTTTTTCAATGAAAGGAGCTGAAAATATGGCTCTTTAATAGCCACTCCAGAGTTAGTTCCCTGGTGGGCGAGTGGTACTTTAATTGGCCCCAACCCTAGCTTCCAAGTATTGAGTGAGGAAACTTGAAAGAAGATATGACCTTTACACTGGTACTTCATCTCAACGAGTCACACAGTGAACTTTGCTACTGTTTGATTATAATTCTGCGGGATGGGGAATGAGAATAACGTATTACGCAGTGTGCGTATGAGGCTAGTATCAATTAAACAAGCAAACATTGGACGATAGTTACTAACTATGCAAACAACAACATCGACTGGACAGACCATGATACCTTTATAATTGAATGTAACAACAGAGAAAGATCTCATTATAAGATGTGCAGAAATGACGACGACAACTTCCTGGATCTTTATACACAGTATGATATGAATGCGAGGCTGATGGAGAACATCAGGTAAGACGTATACAATATAAGGTGATTCATCGACTTGGTTGTAAAATGAAAATATTTTTTGGCCAATTTTGTTAATCTTTTACCGAGAATTAATTGCTGCTATTTTGACTGCTTTTTAATTATTTTCTCACACTGCAATTTTAATTCGAAAGATCAAATGAATTGTAATATTTATTGTTCCTATGCTGTGAGTGCATAGCCCTATATGTACATTGAATAATCAAATATACTCAGTATTGAAGATCTATAGCAGATTAAAGAATGTTAGTAATAACTGCTTTTCGATTAATCATTCATAAGTGATTTATCAAAATCAAACTCGAATCTAATTCTAGCAGATCAACAAACACGTTGAACGTAATAATTATTCTTAGGACGCATTTGATAAAAATGAATGTATCATTTGAATCGATTGCAGATCCATAATGTAGTACTTCAATGATCAGAATTAATTCATCAATACTAGGTTTTAAGCTTCGTTCATGTTTATACTGAATAACTAAATAATCGAATTTAGTTGCAACTTTATTTCTTTTCCTTCATTGAATGTAATGTTATCTATAGTGTTTACATTTTGTGCATGTGTATATCATCGAAGTTAGTCACAATTCCAGCAGTCCAATGAATTTTATCAATCGAAAATTAATCTCATAATTAGAACATAATCATCATTGTGAAAATCATTCACAATTTCAATCCCTATAAAAGATCTTGTCAACTATTGTTTTTAAAGTTTTGATATTCGTACTTAACAATGTCAGCATGGTCATGCGGGAATATAAAATAAAACATCATAATTTATATCAAACAATTTGAGTTATAATATAAACAATTATTTGTTGATTATCTTTTGTTATTTTTGTCAATCATTAATCTGGTTACCATTTGTATGTACTTTGATCAGTGCACGTATCATCGCGTTAAGGCTTTGGTGCAACGATGTTTGTTTAAACAATTAAAAAAAAAATTCTCTCTCTCTCTCTTTCTCTCTCTCTCTCTCTCTCTCTCTTTATCTGATGATCTTTACATTTGAGGTTTTGCATAGCAATGTCTATAACATTGTAGCATTGGAAAGAGCATAGTGGGGAAAAGAGAGTGTATGATAAGTTTTCTCAATTTCGTCCTAAGGAGTAGGGACAGAGCTGGGGAAAATAACGAGAGGTATTCTTCTGAGAGGAGTCCTGAAAAGGACTGCTTAAATGAACGCGGAGTGAGAGAGAAAGAGAAAGGGAGAGAGAGAGAGAGAGAGAGAGAGAGAGAGGAAAAAAAAAGGGGGGGGGGGATCTCGACGTTCCGAACAGGTTGACTCTCCTGGTGTATCAAGTAATCCTACTTTTTAACCGAAAGAAAACTTAACCCCCCCCCCCCCAAATTTTTTTTTATTTTTTAGAAAGATGACTAGATATGGCAGGACAGTTTGAACCAACTATTTGTCTGAAGTTCCATACCGTATATCCATTTCGCTGTGTACTAGCAATGCAAGTGATCTTCAGCAATCATTTTCCTTTATTTCTTATCATACCGAAACATCACAGCATACATCAATTTCTATGTACTTCATAATCCTGTTCCGATAGCTTCCAGTCTCATTCGCAACGTATTAATAATAATATTGGATTCTTATATAGCGCACGTATCGACCTTCAAGATCCTCAAGGCGCTCCAACATTACCCGGCTATGCTAGGCTGCCGATTTCGACGCTCACAGCATTTTAAGGAATTCCTTCCTACCTATGAAACTCTATCATTTAAATAATGTTATATTTTCATTTTCATATAGGGTTCAGTAGGTCTACTTCACTCTTTGACTTGTCATATGTCCGAGAAAAAAAGATCAAAGTAAATGACACGGCACGTTTTAATATTCCAGTTGAGAACCGCGTCTAGAAAAAGAAAAAAATCTATAAGGTACCGTTTTTCATGGAAATAGTATTGAGGTTTATTTAACCTTTCCAGATGAGGAAAACGTTTTCAAGTGCCAAAACAGTAAGGCGGTCAGCCCCGATTTCGATATTGTAATCATACCACTCAGGATTCGTATGGGGGTGGAAGGGGAGGGTGGGGGAGGGGGAGGGTGGGGGCAGGAAACACACATTTCCTTAGTTATAGCTATAAACTCCACTATACTTTTGTCTGAAACTAAGAATCGTACACGGTTAGGTGCTTTTGATGAGCCGCGCATGCACCCCCCCCCCACACAGACCTGTTTACAAATCCACCTCTTCCTTCGTTTGCTACCATCTTGATATTTAGGAGGACAACTAAATGTCAGGATACTCCACAGTGTTTAAAGAATGAAATATTTTGTCAATTACGGAGAGACACTCGAAGCGCATAAATATTAAGAGTGCAAACAAATGTTGACACAAAGGTGTGGGTGGACACTAGAACAGATATTCTGGAATTATAATTCACCGGTGTTTGGCCGAACCATTTAGATTAGGGCCCCGTCTTATAAAGAGTTGTAATTGATCCAAATCAATCGCAAGTCTTCTAATAAATGGCAAGTTTTTAGTCTCTTTTCTCTTATGTACATAGTCGCGATAGATATCAATCGCAACTTTAAGTTGCGTTTAATAATAACTTTTTTTATGAGACGGGCCCTGATGTGCGCTTCATTCAATGACGTTAAAATTGTGAACAATTCAGCCATTGGCTGCTAATTACAGTTTTCACGACACCAGGATTTATAAATAAACCATCGATCATACATAAGTGGTGTGTTGTGACGAAAATTCACTCCAAGATTATCCTTCATTATAGATATAATTGTGCGTGGTGCATTTTTTCAGAAACCGATCAGTTGTTTTTCAGTCCAATGGTACACGCTTAAAAAGAGACGACACGAGCTAATCAATTCTCTCTGATATTTGATGCTTGATCTGGGAGTCAAGAAAACAGAAATTTGTAGAAAACTTTTGTGACTATATCATTTTTCAAAGTTTTATTCTCGTCATTTCTTTCTACGTTTGATGCATATTTACTTCTCAAAGAAAAATATTTTTCGAGCGATCCAACATTTGTGATCCAGCGACAAGTGTTAACTTGATAATTTGGTTGGGACAATAATAATTTATTTGAAACCCTCGGTATTCGCCGTGTATTATCTAACGAACCTCCACTGACAATGTTTTCTTATCGTTTTAAACCCAGGAGCAGAGGAATATCTGCTGCTAATCAGACCAAGATGAGGAGAAACACACTGCGTGTAGGGGTAAGTACGACTAGAGATTAAAGAAACTATCGGCAAATATAAGATGACTTTCATTATTAATAACCAGCTTATTCGTTGGTATCTTTAAGCCAGCTTAGTCAACAGATAATAAATCTAATGTTAGGTATTACCGCTGGTATACATGGAATATTGTAGTATATTAACTATCTCTTTTTAATTATAACAATTTGTTTTTTTGCGCAGAAAGATCCAGTAAAAGTGTTTATATAAATAAAAGGAAGTTTCATGTCGTAATCTGGTGAAGGCTCTTGGTAACTCTCATACGAGGGTTCTATGTAATAATAAATGCAGGGCCCGCAGGAAGAGCAGTTTTAATGCTGATGGGGCTAAACAAGGAACCAACCATCATCACATTATTATTATTATTATTAGTAATATTATCATCATCATTATTATCGTTATCATTATTACTGTCATTATTATTATCGTTATCTTTATTATTAATATCATTATTATCATTATTACTATCATTTTCAATATCATCATTATTGTCATTTATCATTATTATCATTTCTGCTATTTATTTAATGTAATAATAAGTTACATCAAATATTGAGAGTTAATAGTATTCACTAAAGCAGTTGCTTAATCTAACCAAATCAAACAGTCCAAGTAATCCCAATTAATTCATGACTAAACCTTATTCTGACAACGATGCTATTGTCTGCAAATTTTAATTACCAAACTAGCCTAGCAACAGGACGTTCTAATTACCAGAAGTTGGATATAACTTGGTTCTAACGAACAAATATTTGTTGGTTCTTTTAACTTGGAAATAGTGGCTACACGTTATTATCTGTTTGTTTTGTTGTTGTTGTCTTTTCCAGATAAAAGTCGTCTTCTTGCTTAGTTTCGCCGTTCTAAGCTTCTACCTTGGATGGCATGCAGTACCACGTAAGTTTTCAAACAAACAAAAAACTAAATAAAAATGCAAGAATGACAATGTGGTAATGATAACCAATACGCTTAAATGTTTTTCATCTTTTCGAAGCCGACTTAAATGTAATACGAAGTTTTTGGCATGAGGTCATGAATTTGGTTCAAATGAACATATTGGAAGCATATACGATCCTACAATATTCAGTGATCGTTGTCGCGGTTGAAATCGAGTCTAAAGTTATGAAATTGTAAATAATAAACTCTTCATGTTGTATAGCTCCCTCTAAAGGTCAAGATATTAGTTAAGCTATTAAACAATGTTTCTTGACTAAAATCGACCTATTAGATATTCCTGTTTGGAGAATATATATCACAACTACATATTCCGAGATTTTCATGGTCGCAGCTACCATTGTACTGCCGTAGGCGCTATTTGAAATTTATCAAAACTTACCGGGACCACCGGTAGATTTTTATATTCTATTTTTCTCGAAAGCAGTAGTTTTTTAGGGGCTAACCTACTAGTGCTTATAATACACACACAGGGGCATCCAAATATATTAAAATTGAAATAATCAATATCCACCCAATTTGCAGAATTTCCCCAAACTTGGAAGTACCTTTAAGGGACTATCTTGCAATATTCTTTTTCTCCTTCTGCATTCTATGCAATATACCGCTCGCTCTCTCCCTCTCTCCTTCTCTGTGTTGTCATATATTCGTATATTTGTATTCGTTAGGTTACGCAATGGAGATGTGTTTTATTGCATTTGCTTTAATACAGGGTCTGTCGCGAAGAAAGAGAGGGCCATCCCGTACAAAGCTCCTGCGGCTAGTCCGACTGCTGCTCTCTCAAACAATGGTAGATTACCTTTACAAATCAACGCATGCAGAGAAAACTCAACGATTAGAAAGCCTATACCAACCCATTCTAGGCCTAGACCAAGACCTCGAATCATATTGGCCACAACCAACAAAGCCTTCTTGGACTTTACAGAGAACTGGATTGAGAGCCTAAAGCGATGCAACGTCAGGGACCACGTGACTATAATAGCTGAAGATCCTTCCACATATGAAATCCTAGCCAAGAGAAATGATATCAATCTAGAACTATTGCTGACGAGTAAAACCAACTTACCTGACAGTGATCTTGCTTTCGGATCTCAAGACTATCTTCGTTTAGTTAACAAAAGACCCAATTATATTCTGCGGTACTTACAAAGGGGCACCGACGTCCTCTTTTCAGATGTGGATACGGTATGGCTCAAGAACCCCTTACCGTTCTTCGAGGACGGTTACGATTTGTACTTCGGAAGGGACATCTACGACGACCAGACAAAACCGGACTTAGTTTGTGCGGGTTTCGTGTATTACCGTGCCACCAAAGCTACGATTGATTTAATTGTAAAATGGATCCAACGCATCCACGCTCGACCCGAGATACCTGATCAACAACTACTGAATCATTTGTTACGTAACAGAACCATTCGAAATACACTCAAATTGAAATATCTGGATCAAAGACAGTTCCCAAATGGAAATGATTATTTTAATGTGGAATGGAGAGAGAAACATGCCAACATAGAACCGATCGTTGTACACAACAACTGGATAAAAGGACATGATATTAAGATAGAAAGGTTTAAGAATGCTAGCATGTGGTATTTATGATATTTATCCGAAGAACATACAATGTTGTATCAATTGGAAACTGAATGAGCGTAGAAGATACAATATAAAGGGACAAAAAATTATCTTTCAGTATTGCACAAAAGTAAATTAAAACCTCCTCATTGGGCACCTCTTCAAATTACAAGTCAACAGGGGTCAAATTTGACGCAATTACGGTGACGACATAAAATGTGGACCCGGTCGACTCGCCGATGTAGCTGAGGCGATGGCCCGTGCTTAATTAATGCAAAGTCTTTGTGAATATAGGTACTGATAATGTCATCAATTCGATAGTTAGTTTTTAGGTCTACAACTTCCGATTTTCAAAGCTTTAGAATTCGAGTTATCAGAGAGCTGTTAATCCTCAGACAAAACAATAGCATATATTTATATTATTGTATCTATGGCTTCTAAACTTTCTGTTTTCTTTTTTCCCTTCCGACAGGATTTTTAATGGAATGACTAGTGCTTTATTCAGGGGCGGATCTACAAGGGAAGAGGGGGGGGGGTTAGGGAGTTTAAACCCCCCCTTGGGCTGCCAAGTGAAAATGTGATGTGTATAGAAAAACACCATCATTGTGTCCGGCCCACACAGTATTAGTAGATGTTAGTAGATGCCAGGAAAACATCACAGTCTTACGGGGGTTCAGAATTCCGCATCGTCATTGGGTCAACCCCCCCCCCCCCTACCAAAAAGCTAGATCCGCCCCTGGTATTCAGATATCTGACGTAGTACGTACAATTTTGTAAAAACATGTTTATTTAAAACAGTATCATGAACTTGAGGCTTCTGTGAGTGAGAAGGGGTTTCAAGAGATTTATGATAATATTACTCTATTTCGGACAACAATATAGGCCCACATGCAACTCCATATTTTAGCGTTCTTAATCAGTTTTTAATAAATCTGTTGTGTTCGACTATTTAAATACATTTAAAGGGTTTATGAAAATATGTTATTATATTATATCTATTTTACTGTGATTATTAAGACAATTTAAATGATTTATGAAAGAAATGTTCATATTATATTTATGATTGGGAACCTACAAAAACAGCTATGCTTTCCAGTAAATTCCTTACTTACTTTGTAAACTATGTTATTTATTGTGCAAAAAATTGTTATATGAAATGAAATAAAATCGATCAATCAATCAATATACCCCCTCTGACAATCTGAATAAATGATACATGTGAACATTTCAAACAATAAACTAAGATTGTGTGTTACCAGCCGATCACATTACAAGGGAAATCAAACCTAGCAAACATGAAATAATTCAAAGTAATAATTTTTAGCCATCAAATTGACCTTGGTTTAATTTCAAGGGTCGCACACTACTGAATACGATCGCCATAAAATTGTTATGATGAATTCCATTTTTTATGAGAAGGTCTGTATTTATCAATATGCAGGCCTATTAAACGTGACAAGTGACTTTGAGTGGACTTTGATGATTTCCGCTTCATGATATCCTGCCACTCCAGTTAGTCATGTGATCATGTGTTAAAGTCCCATATCGTCGATAACGATAGATCGAGAAAGCTATAGCTATAAAAAAAAAGTCTATTGACTTTTTGAAACATCAGTGCTAGTGCTGAAGGTACATTCGGCCTAGCGAGAGTTTGATAGAAACATCAATATCTTATACGTTTTCTGCATAAGCTTCACGCAGTTACCTTATCGGTGATGGGACCGGCCCTTCACATTTATTGTATTCTTTCCACATTGACAAAATAAGGTATTCACTTATCATCATGGGTCATCGTACTCATTGAATAAGAGTTATATTGGACAAAAGGCTATCATCTGTTACTCTGATAAAGATTGGTTGATTTTAAACCTATATAACCTATAACCTATATATAAAATAATTATTTCTTTATTATATTAGTGCATGAAAAAATATGTCTTGGTTTTAGCCCTTGGAACCAATTTTCCAGCTGCCACTTTCTGTCTGTTTCTCAGTTGACAGATTTTTATTTCAGGCTCAAGCAAACATATTTTGAATGAGAGGCATGGGGAAAAGACTCATTTTAGAGAGAGGCTCTAGTAGGCTACGTCATGTATTTTTGCAGGACACCTTCCCATAATGTGCTTACGTGATCATCGTCACATATAACCGTCATGAACCGTCATTCTCAGCCTTAAAACCCCATTTCCATATCAATACATACCCATACTGTCACAAAAACACACTTTCTCACCCATATAAAGCCCACATATACAATCCGCACACGCACCCATCTACCATCCAACGTACATCCTATTAAACAACAATTAATATAAGCCCACACCCTCACCCATACAAACCAACCACCACTCAGCCTTACAATCGCATACCCTCACCTCTACGAACCCACACCCTCACCCATACAAACCAATCAACACTCCCAGATGTACAATCTTTACACTCACCCATACAATCGCACACCCTCACCTCTACGAACCCACACCCTCACCCATACAATCGCACACCCTCACCTCTACGAACCCACACCCTCACCCATACAATCGCACACCCTCACCTCTACAAACCCACACCCTCACCCATATAATCGCACACCCTCACCTCTACAAACCCACACCTTCACCTCTACGAACCCAGACCCTCACCTCTACGAACCCACACCCTCACCCATACAATCGCACACCCTCACCTCTACAAACCCACACCCTCACCCATACAATCGCACACCCTAACATCTACAAACCCACACCCTTATCCATACAATCGCACACCCTCACCCATACAATCGCACACCCTCACCTCTACGAACCCACACCCTCATCCATCCAATCGCACACCCTCACCCCTAAAAACCCACACCCTCACCCATACAAACCAACCACCACTCTCACATGTACAATCTTTACACTCAACCGTACAATCGCACACCCTCACCTCTACAAACCCACACCCTCACATATACAAATCAATGCACAAACTATCCATACAATTGCACATACACAAATAACCAGCACAAGCCCACATTGTACGTATTTATAAACCTCGTTCAAATTATCATTACAAATACACGTATTTACATTACATGTGATTTTAATATTCATGATTAATTTCAACAATATGAAAAAAGGTTAAATAGGCCTACAAGACCAGCGTGACGATAAAAAGTCCTTTAAAAAATTAACCCTAATTCACATGAACTTTTAATTACGAATGTTCAATTTTCAAGAGTTACATGAAAGATTAGTATTCAATTCAATTCATTTGTTTCCTCTTTCAATTTTTCATATTCACAATGATAGTACATTTTAACATATTCACATACATACAGACCAATTTTAGAAAAAACCATGAAATTGAAAGGGAGAGGGCCGACTAAAAAGCAGAGCTTGTATGGTGTAGGCCCCCCTGTAAAAGTAATTATTATGAATTATTTGTTATGATAAAGAAAACACAATAATAATAACTGATTCAGTAATACAAAAATCTTTTTTAAACGGAAAACAATGATAAATACATACATAAAAAGAAACAATCAAAGTAACACGAACATCAAAGTTGCATAAAGTCACACTACATTATTATATTTGATTGGGGAATGCAATAGCCTAGTCGCTATTCAGAAGAAAGCTTTCAAGTCTCCTTTTGAACATTTGTATCGAATTACACTGAAAAGAATTTGACAGTTTTGGACTTTTAAAAACGAATGTCTTCTCTGTATCAAGGGACATTTCAACATACATGTATGTTTTCATACAGATTGTTTGAAATATTAGCATAAGGCATTCTATCATTTATTTTCTGTATAAGTATTATAGCAACCACTATGATTGAAATTTTCAATTATGCCGTTTTCAAAAGACGGCGACTTCCTGAATTTTTCTCCTCCAGGTTGTGATTCTTGTGATATGTTCTGCCATCCCGATGATTGATACGAGCTTTGGAAGACTGATTCCGATGAGTGATGGAACAATGGTTTATTCTCTTCACTAACGTACCCTGACCTCTGTTTAACTCTGGTCATCTTGACATACCTAGTTATTATACAGAGTAATATGACCGTTATGACTGAACATGACAAACTAATGATAATCATTTTATTCCGGAAGGACAATCCAACCTGATCTATTACTTTATCCTGAAAGTTAACTACTAAGTCATCACTTTCATTTCCATATGAAAAAGAATAGGTTCCTTCGATCGACGAGTTCGCAGTGTTAGTATCAATAATCAAAGCATCGTTGTTAGTCAAGAAGTAAGGTCCTTGTCGTTCACCATGTTCTGAAAGCTGTCTCCCATCTGGTGTAATCCAGGTACAATCAACCCCTGCGCACGGGAGCTCGTGTAATAGTCTTCCCTGTAGTGTCATATTCTTGATATCAAATGGAAGACAATCTTCATTATTGTACACATCAAACAAAGAGTGGTTTTTTATCTCCTGTCGTTCTTGGCATTGTCCATAGATATGATTTCGACTCTCGTTAAGCCACGAAGATATCCATGACATGCGACAGTCACACAGAAGAGGGTTGCCAGTTAAGTCAACAGCAACGTGTAATTCATGTATGCCAAATGAGGGTTCGGCCATCACTTTTATCATGTTATCACGGAGATCAATTTCTTTCAGGTGGGGCAAGTTATAAAATGCCGTCCGTCTCACGCATCTCAGTTTATTTTTCCGTAAGTTTAGGTACTCCAAAGAGGGCATATGACTGAAGCTGTTTGGTCCCAATGTCTGAAGTTTATTGTGAGCCAGATTCAGAGAAGTGACATTTTCCAATCCCTTGAAAACACTTGGTTGAAGGTCGGTTATATCATTGTTTGACAGTGTAAGGTTATTGAGATTCCTTAAATTCTCGAAAGCTTCATTCTCTAGTTTGGCAATTTTGGTATGGTTGCTACCGATGACCAAATTTTCCAACTTATCAAGATATCTTAACATCCCGCGTTCTACCACATCAAAGAAGTGGTTTTCAATAACCAATATTTGTATGTTTTCGAGGCCTTTAAATCCTCCCGATTCTATGTATTGCAAACCAGAGACTGTGAATTTCTTGCAAGAATTAATTAAGGAGGGTAAGGAGGCTGAACAACGAGACAATTCCTGGATGGACCCTTCTCTGAGAATCTCCCGTCGATCAAATTCAAAGAGTAGGTCATCACATGAATACTCAAATCGAAAATAGCATCCACTGCCGTTTCTCCTGGAATGACATGCATTGTCAGATGTTTGCCCGCTCAGATTTAAAGGTGGAAAAAGAGCGAGGCTCACAACTAACACCAGCAGATGTAACATCATCTTCTCTGTAACGAGAAAAAATAAAGACATTTTAATTGTAATGTTGTAATTCAGAAAATGTAGCTCAAGAAAAAAAAAGCTATATACGAATTAAGGATATTGCTCATTGGTCAACCATTTTTCTTTTGGCCCACTAACAGAAACATTGAGGGAGGTTTACCTACCAAAACCAGCCCTCTGCGTAACGCCTGGTACCGGTAAGAACCTCTCTTTCACGATGCCATATCAAAAATTCCTTTAATA